TTTTTATTTTTGAAATTTACCGTAGCTGCTGCATTTCCCACCCTAGGCTTATACTCGAGTCAATAACTTTTCCAGCTTTTGGGGGTAAAATTAGGTGCCTCGGCTTATATTTGGGTCGGCTTATACTCGAGTATATACGGTATTCAGTAGAGCCATTTCTAGATAACTGTACATTAGTATTGATCGGCTCTTCCACTCTCCCATATTTAGGCACACATATATGATTTTTACTTAGATTTGTATAAGGAGGTGTGCAAGTATACTATACTTTTTCATTGCTTTTAAATCAAAAACTTTTTATTGATATAAAGGGAGTCTGCAGTAAAACTGCATAACTCAAAAACATAGGGTAGCTTACAATGGAATAAGCTTAATTTATAATATTGTCATAGGAAATTGTTTTCAAAATAAAATAGGGGCTTGTTTTATTATTTTTAGCAAATCCAGAGCAACTTTATTATTGTGATACATCCTGGCTCAACGACTTTAAGGATTGGAAGAGCCACAGATACCCATCCTGTTAGCGTCCCTCACATCATCGCAAGAAGACATAAACAACAAGGACAAATCTCATACAAAGACAGTTGGCTTCTAAGAGAAGGACTCAACGTAAGTCTTCAATAGTTCAGTCTTAAATGAAACTGAATCAGTTGTTGCTTATATGAAATACATTACTTTCATGCCTTGTTCTTGCATGCTAAATTTGTGCTGTTATCCAATCCTCTCATATCTGTCCCTGTGATTTCTACTTGTGCACTGTGCCTAACAAATAATGCAGAGGGGGGATAAGTCTTACTCATGCCCTGTAGGCTCTTTTGCGGAATACAAATGGCTTTTATTGAATTACCATCATCAATAGGATATAAATAGATTATTTGTATGTTTTCTAAATGTATGGATACTAAAGTTTTGTTACATCATCCAGTTTCTAGATACGGGAACTATGCTTTTTATCCTTTGACAGTAGCACATACTTTGTCAATAATGTTATTTCTGCTGTAGGGAAAGCTCTGAACTTAGACCATAACAGTCATCTTGTCATAGACTACTGCCCACATAAAACTTTGATAGCATCTTCTTGTTACTAAATGAGTGTAATGGTCTGGGCCGCAGGGGTCTGAAGTATTACCATATTTTTTGGAGTATAAGACGCACCTTTTTACCCCCCAAAAGAGGGTGAAAATCTGAGTGCATCTTATACACCGAATGTAGCTCCACTCACCCGCTCCGCGCTTCGCATTTTCGGGAGGCTCCATGTGGCGGGGATCCTCACTTTCACATGGAGCCCGATTCTCAAAGCTGCCTTGGGAACTGCGATGAAAGCCTTTTCAATGAAAGCATTTTTGGGCTGTAGGGTCCCCTCCCCGATTCCAAAAAGGACGTGTGCAGAGGCCAAACAAGTGCATCATGTTTCTGGTGGCAGGCGGTTCCAGCATACGCTGCCTCCTGAAAATGCTTTCCTTCCCAGTTCCCCGGTGCACATCGCAGAGCCACGCGCCCTCCTCCTTGGCTGCTGGCCACCCAGAGTGCGCAGGCAGCAAAGGAAACTGCGTTGTGGCCGCCACTGCCTCCTGCCTACGTACCTTGAGGAGGTTGAGCAGCAGCAGTGAGATGTTTTCCTGCACAGAACAGCCGAGAGAGAGAGAAAAGTGGTGGAACTGCCAGACTCAAGAAAGATGTTCGGGCACAATTTGGGGGTGGCTGGTCAGGCAGGGGATGGGGCAGGGTGGGGCACGCATCTTATTCAAGTCTGGCAGCTCCACCACTTCTATCTCTCGGCCGCTCTGTGCATTGAAACATCTTGCAGAGTAAAGAAAAACTTCTCATGAAGTTTTTCTTTATTGTGCAAGGTTTTCCCTGCAAAGACCAACAGAGAGATGCAACGGAGCTGCCAGACTCTATTAAGATGCACATTTCACAGTGGGGCATAATTTGGGTGTGGAAGATGGAGCAGGGGATAGGGTGCTCGGCATCCTTGCCAGTGGCGAAGAAGTGCCCCGGGCACTGCTGAACTCTCCCCTCCCCTCGCTCATTGGGGCGGGATGGTGAGGGTGCTGCCTCTCCTCTCATGTCGGCTGTTATCCAGGAGAGGGGGCACGCAACTGTGGTCGCTGGCAGTGACACTTAAGGGCTTGGGCAGTGTTCTCCAAGAAGTGGCTGCAGGGCACCCCATCCCCTGCTCCACCTGCCACCCACAAATCGTGCCCCATTGCGAAATACGCATCTTAATAGAGCCATGGTGCGGGTTTCCTTTGCTGCTTGCGCACTCTGAGTGGCCAGCAGCCAAGCCGGCAAGCCGACAATCGACCAGCTGCCTCTAATCTGCCTTCCCTGTGTCCGCGCCTGGCTCCTGTGCCTTTGCCCGACTGCACTGACCTCTCGCTTTTCTCCCTGCCTCCTCCAGCCGACGGTATTGGTCATGAGAAAACAGGCGGCTAGTCTGTAGAGGAGGAGGTGGGCGTGTGGCTCTGCGATGTTCCCCTGGGAACTGGGAAGGAAAGCATTTTCAGGTGGCAGGGCGTGCTGGAACCTCCTTCCACCTGAAACATGATGCACTTGTTTGGCCTCTGCACGCGCCCTTTTTGGAATTGGGAAGGGGACCCTATAGGCCCAAAACACTTTCATTGAAAAGGCTTTCATCGCAGTTCCCCAGGCAGTTTCGGGAATCAGGCTCCGACCAAGGCAGCAAAGACTTTAGCCGGATGAATACTGATAGATGTTGCTGGGAAACAGGCAGAAAGGTTTTTTTCCTGATTTTCCTCCCCAAAAATTGAGGTGCATCTTATACTCCGAAAAATATGGTAATAAACAGCCTAAAATCCAATAGCCAATATATGTATCTAAATCCTCTACCTGATTGCTGAAACAAGGATTTTAATATGGAGGAAAGAAATTTCCTCCATATTAAATTAGGGTCCCTGGCAGTGGTGGGTTGTAGGCAGTACATCCCGGTATGGGTGTACCAGTGCCTGCTGGGAGCACCGGGTACCATTCCAGTACAGTGCTCCGGAGGGCCCCTTCCAGCCGTCGTCCTTGCTTGTATGTGAGCTCTTTGGCGCATCTGCCTATGGAGCATATGGCGCCTGTGTGACCTTCCGCCGAACAGCTGGAGCATTGCGGAGGCATTGCAGAGGTAAGGACGCATGCGCGGGCGGCGCACCTGCATGTGGGAGACGCCGGGCCCCATTGCACCGTACCAGTTGCACCGGGATCCGGAACCCACCACTGGTCCCTTGCTACGTCAGTTCCAGCAGGTGTAATAATAATAATAATATCACAGTCATCAGAGGTTCCTATAGGATACCACCGAGAAAGCCTTCCTGAGTTCCCAGATACACATGGTTCCCCAAGATAGGGAAAGTGAACAAAATGAAAGGATACTCTTTATTACCATTCTTCACTCATAGCATAGGGACTTTCCTATCACTCCAGGTGGTTGAAGTGGCATTGGTAGCAGTAAATATGCTAGGATAGCCTACGGGAATAATGAAAGGGAAATATACCCTGCAGTTAGTTTAATTATTGACAGCAGAAGTTACATTTTAAAGAGTTAACTTCCAATTCTTTAATCATCACACAACCCCAAAGTCTCAGCCCTGCTATAGAGCAGAAGCAGGCACATCTGGAT